ACTGCACAGAGAAGCAGCAAGCGTGCTTCGCTTCCCTGCCAGTGCTTGCTGGCCCCCAAAACTAGCAGAGGGGGAGAACGCCACGGAGGGGCGTGCACAGGATTTCCCCCCGCCGTTGTAGCTGCTGCTGTCTGCCAGGAAGCCTTAGGATCCTGGGTGATATTTTATATACCGCGTGTGCTGCAATAAATAGGCCAAACCTGGGTCTAGGGCACTCTGCGCTGAAACTCCAGAGAGAATCAAGCGGGGATTAATTTGAAATACGATAGCTGCCACTTTAATGGACTCGTTGGAACACAGCACTTCTAATGTTTTATTTTTGTGCCGTTACATACGGATGTTTTGTACTCGTGGTACAAACACACGCCATCTGCCTCAGGTTGGGGAGAGCATCCCCCATAGCAAGGATGATGCGCACGTTCATTTTTAAGGTTTTGCCCGCTGTCTTAAAGCTCTGTTTGGAATAAGATGCTGGAGGAGACTGAAGAATTTGCGTATCCCTTTTCCATTTGGGAATTACTACATTCCTGACGATAATACTGTGTGCGCTGCTTTCTCTGCTGCCACCGTCCCAGTGTGGATTCTGAGTTTAACCCAAAGCTTTCTGTACCAATATTTTTGTCCTTGTTGAGGACGCTAATGCAAAGGAAGTTCTGTTGGAAGAGGACTGTAGGGTTCGATTATAATGATGTTTAACACAGTGTTTTCCACGTGAAATGTTAATACATGATGTTCTAAATCTTATTTCTGTTCTGATGTAACGTTTTAAAATTATAAACCATTCTTAACCTAATTACCGCTTTAGCTTTAATACTCTTTTATTATTTTTTGCATAAAACTCATTTTAATTGGAGTAACAAGTATTGCACGTTTTATGAAACACCTTCATTGAAAGGCTTGGATACTTTCCATTTGGGTCCCTACAGACCCATCCAGTTTGAAAATACACTGTTCTAGCCTCTCCTTAATTACAGTACTTGGAGCAACTCTCTGTTAACTGTTTTTAAATTCCACCGGATAATGAGTCTACCAGAACTAGAGAGCGTACAACAGAAAACTGTTCACAGGAGGAAGCTTGCTGTTGCTTAGCTACCTATCTTTTAAATTTGGAATCTAGCCCTTAAGCCGCTAAATGTATTTGTTCATGGCACATTGTACCATTTTATATGTGCGTTTCACCTGTGTGCTACCGCCATTATCGTAGGGATAAGGAGGGCCTTTATAAAGGGGCCGTGTTGTGGCGTAGATCACACAACCTACAGACGTCCGTTCCATAAGCGGTACTTGGAACGCCGAGTTCTCAGGTGGGTGCTACGGCGGTGAAATTCAGAGTAACTTGAGCCAAAAGAGCTACTGCCTCCGCTCCTCCAGACCAGTCCCAAATACCAGGGAGTTATGCATAATTTGTAAGTACTGCAGCCAATCTGTAGTCTTAATAGTACGCATTCTCACATCAGTCTAGGCATAATAAAGATACATAATTAATTGCAAATTAAAATACTGCAACACTTAACATTTTTTTTTTTGTCCATTTAGCATTTTCTCGCAAGTGAGAAAATGCCTGACTTTCAAAAATTGCCCGACTTTCATAGAAATCTGCTGGAATAAGACCCTGAACTAGGCAATGTTCATAGGATACATACTGGGATGTTTTCTTCAGGAATCTGGGAAAAACTTTATATTCGGTAACGCTTTCTGATAAGTCCTAGAATTGATATAAAGGGACACTTTATCTAGGGATTGCTTATGGCCACAGAACTGGTATAAGCGTAGAAAGACATTCTGTCTTTTCTAAACCTTTTTCCAGTGTGTGGATCTAGAAAGGAAACTTTTTATCATTTGCTGTCAAAGTGATTCTGCCTTACTTTAATGGTTTTTCCCATTAGGAGAGATCTCTGTGACCCTTCCCCAACCTGCCTGCGCAAAATAGTCAAAGCAGCTTCTGCAGCGATACGTTGAGGCTCACGTATGTTTATAGAAGGGCATCCCGCTTTGGCCTCGTGACTTCATTGCGCCAGACTGCTGACGTAGCTGTGGCAGCTCGGAGTGACGCCGCGCTTCCTTGCTGAGACAGGGCCCCCGGCAGTGCTCGTGGTGGTGACGCAGCTCTGCCACGGGGACAAGGAGTGTCGGGTCCGCTGTTAGAGCGGTGCCGGCTGACAGCTCTCTGCCGGCCTGTCTTACCAGTACCATTCGCTGGCGTCATTTATGGGAGCAGCGACTCCATCTTGCGTGCGGATGGGTTCGATTCACAGCTGCAAACCCCAGATTCTTGTAAAGGAACTTCAGTGCTGTTTGCTGCTTAAGTGATGGGCCCAGCCGGACAAAGATTTGTTACTGCAGCTTTTTCTGTATTATGTTTGCTATGATTTTAGAAGGATGAACTTGCCAGTTCAAAAGCTAATTATGTTGTTAATTCAGTGACGAACTTTCTTGGGAATCTATGGTCAAGTTAATTTAAAGAAAATGACATATTTCAGCTCTTACAGGTATACTTTGTGGATTCAAACATGAATATCTGTAATCCTGGTTTTGGTATTCATAAGGTTTTGATGTCTGTATGCCCCTAGTGGAAAATACTGGCATATTTCAATATAATTTTGTGCTCAATTAACCTCACTATTGACTTACAAATGTACAATAGAGTTGCATCTCTTTGCCCTTTTATTGAGGTTTAATATTTATGTGTAGATTTCACTTTCTGGGTCTGTAAATCTTTCTCATTCAGATCATTTAAGATTACTAAGTATGTAGCTCTTGTATAGCCTCATACATATTTTTTTGTTGTGCCTTCATGTTTTTCGTCCTTCACATTTTAACATTGCATCCCATGGCTTTAAACTGACTGTGTGTGCGTCCTTGATTGCCCAGCACAGAGCCACTGCTGCACTGGCCTCCGCTTGCAGAATTTCACAGAGGCTTCAGTACATGGCATGGTAAAATGTAAAACCATACTCATAGATCACCTTATAAATATTTATTCATATAAATTCTTTAAAGAAATTAAATTACGTGTTCTATACAAAATAGGGGAGAGAGGCTTTTAGTGTCGCTGACTGCAAATTGAAGTCATTTGTCTAGAAGGGTCAGGTGCCACTTTGTGGTAAGGAATTTGTCTGAGATCCAAGAAAGGAAAGATTGATAGTACAAAGAGATTGATGAAACGGGCACTGCAATATGCATACGAAGTTACGGGTTAATTAGGAGGATTTAAACAAGAAAGTTCCTTTGTGTGGAGGAGTGTCGTGTGCTGTTACTTTCAGAAGCGAGGTGTGCTGGCAGCCTTTTTGAACACGCAGGGTTGATTTTCTGAGATGTTTATATGGAGACGTGGGGCTGCGAGTCTCGGCAGGGCGGCAGATTACCAGCAGCACGTACGCTGCAGCTGATGGGTGCTGCTTAGGAAATGGAGCGGTTTGCATACATAGACACCGTCTCTGCTCGTGTCTTTGGTTTTGTTGTTGATGTAAATTCTAGCGCTGGTTCTGTGATTCCTGCATCGGCGTAAAATCATTAATATTTCAGAGTGCCAAGTTCTTCGGGTGTCTCAGGTGACGTGGCTGTTTGTTATACTTTTTAATTACAAGCATGGTACTTAGAGAAAAATCCTAAAGCTAAAATTATGTAGCTTAAAAAATGGGAGCCTCGACAAACATTGTTTTCTAGTTGATAGGAAAGCTGTTTTGAAAGAACAGACGCTGCAAACTGTTCCTTATTGCATTAAAGTTCACCAGCCACCTGGTACGTTTAGTGGAGAACGACAGGCATCCGTATGCAGATTCACGCAGAAATCGAAACAGTTCCGTCTTTTGTAAGAGTTTTTCACATGGCAGAAAGAGAATTTTAAAATGTACTTAAATGCAACAAAACCAAAATGCTCTCTGTGCCCCTTGTGTCTTGTTCTATACAAGGACAAAATAGTGCAAATCTTTCAGCCAGGCAGGAATAAAAAGCTCAGCAAGCACCTCAGTATTTATTATTGTAATAGTAAATCATCTCTGTCTGCCTAGATCTGTAAAATATACCTGCTGGGGGCAAGAGTAGGCACAGGCACGAGGGGCTGAGTTACACCTCTAAATACTGTCATTCTGATATTTTTGCTACAATATTTTCTTAACTAAAATTTTGCGTTCGTATAGCTTCACCTTACCTTTAGCCTCAGAGACAGATCTTGGGGCATGTAGCTGCTCTCATCTTCTCCAATCCATTTCTCACTGAATATGGAGTGTCTGAAATTTTTTTAAACATGAGGAGGAAGAGGACAGACAAGTTTTATCTTGTCTTACTGCTAAGTGTGAGATAGGAAAGGCCTTAACAAATTGCAGTGTATTGCTTTTTACTGAAGACAGAAAAAATTGTTGAAGGGACAGGTATTTGAATTGCAGAATATATATCTACATTAAGCAAAGGCAGTTAGACTCAATGAGACCCCTGGGAAATGTGATTGACATTAAAACCAATCCTATTTTGTTTTATGATATTCCTGTAAGAATGAATCGTAGCTTCCTGTGTGGTTAGATATCTGTTTATTCACATAATTCTGAGTACAAAAGGAGCTGGAGAAAACATTCTAGGTAGTGGAAAAACAACACCGTCTCTTCTCTTTCACGTTTTCACTTGTCGGAGGTGTTTTTCATACTCGCAGCATTTTTCTATCGTACGAGACCAGATATGAGAAATTCTGTCCAAACAAATGAGTTTGAACATGTCCCACAGCACTTGATGTGCACCATCAAAGTGGCGTCTCAGGCGCTGTCCTAGTGGCCTTTTTGTGTTTTTTAACCTCCCTGCTTGAGCGGCCCCTCACCTTTCCACTTTTCCACCTTTCTACCACATCAAGAAGAAAGGTGCTTCTACTTTATGAAGAAATAGAGCTTATTGGTATTTTTCTCTACTGCAAGGATTTTTTTTTTCCACTTGATAAACGCAGTGCCTGTTTAATGTGAAAACTACGTATGAACTCTTTGTTTTTCTCTTTTTGTTTTTTCTCTTTCTTTCAGAAACCAAAACAAAAGGACTGGCATCCTCCTGGAGGATTTATTTTAGGGCTCTGGGCACTGATCATCATGGTTTTCTTCAAAACATATGGAATCAAGCACATGAAACACATCTTCTGAATTCAAAGGTGCAAGCTGATTGCGTTGACTGTTTCTTTGGATCCATCGGTGCCATCCGAGCGCTCTGTATGTCTGTTATGGTTGCAGTGAAAAACAGTGTTGAGACCTTGCTTCTAAAGGTTCTTTTGATGTCATCTCTTCTGCCCCTTTTTCTGAAAAAGAGACTAACAAATGGTTTTAATGTTAGACTTTTTTTGGTCTTGTTTTAAAATATTTTAATGCTTTTCTAAGCAATTTTGTTTTCTGCTTAAACTTAAAAAGAGGGAGGACCTAAACACAGAAACTGAATGTCTGAGGTTGATTGTGAATTGTAAATGGGCAAATTCTTTCCCTCATTCTTCAAAGTAAATCTTAGAAGTAGTCAACCTATCACTAAAGAACTAGACATTGTGCAGAACGTTATTTAAGATGTCATTTTATCAATAAAAACTTAAGCCACTTTGCAGACTTTGGCATGACGTATTGAAAGCTTTCTTCACAAAAATACCCTAGAATATATTGATTTTTTTTTTCTTATTCTTTTTTTCTTACCTATTAAATACAACCCTTAGATCAGTCCTTTCATCTTGGGCAGTTTTGAGTCTAGGATTCTATGAGTTGGTGAAACAAAAAAAAATGACCTCACTGAATCTACTTAAAAAAATGCCAAAAAAAGTGAAACTACAACTCTACCATGTCCATGGGGAACCCTTTACAGCTGGTGTGTTTTCACTCCATACAACATGGAGGTGGGTGCTTTCAGGATTTTCAGTGCACTGGATTTTTGCACAGAAGAAAATTGACTGGCATCAGGATGAAAAATGTTATAAATTGTACTATTGTATTCTGTAGTTTCTGAGCCCTTGGAAAATGAGCTTTATCACCTAGGATTTGTAAATTCTGTTTTGGCATATTGATTTGTTCTTTTGGACGTTTACTGATGAATGTATGCCAAAAGGGCTTTGTCTGTAAAATATGCTGATACTAGTGAAGAGAAGAGCAAATTTGTGCGTGTATAGAAACAAGTCTGTCAGCAAGGGGAAGCTTTTGCAGCATGCTTTTGGAACCTGTTCTCTAGCTTAATAATAATAAAGCTTACATGACGCATACATGGTGTAAATGCTAGATACGTATCTCTAAAAGTTATTAGGAATTATTTGTAATCTCACATAATACCAGAGCCAATATATTTTTCTCAGAATATGGTATTGAGCGTTTCCATATTGGAAATATGGAACGGAACATACCAATTCAAGTGCTTAAACATCTTTGCTCCCCTTTTTTCTTCTCTTTCAGATTGATTGTGGCATCATAGCCTCGGGTTAGGGGTAGCAAACTTGTCAGAGCACCCTGTGCATACGCTGGCCAGGAGGGCTACAGAGAAAGCAGCCATTGAGCCTTCCAGCTGTTTCTTGAGGGCTGATGCCAGAGAACAATAAAACCAGCAGTGTGGTACATCTCTCAAGTATTAAAAACTTACTTTTTTTTCTCCATACATCTTCTAGGCTTGGAGAGGATAAAAGCAGAAAATGATCCGTTATCAGGAGGGAAACGCTTGCCTGCTACACCTCTACCTCACTGTAA